AATTATATACGGCACTTATAAGAAAAACACATTTTTTTAAACTTTTGTCTGTCTGTCTGTTTGTTCCGGATAATCTCTAAACGGCTGGACTGATTTTGACGGGACTTTCACTGGAAGATAGTTTTTTTTTTTATGGGACTAAGGGGGCAAACGGGCAGGAGGCTCACCTGATGAAAAGTGATCACCGCCGCCCATGGACATCTACAACACCGCAGGGCTTGCTGACGCGTTGCCGGCCTTTAAGAAAGGAATACGCTCTCTTCTTGAAGGTGGCCAGGTCGTAGCGGTTCGGAAAGACCGCCGGCGATAGCTGGTTCCACAGAGTGGTTGTGCGGGGCAGAAAATGCCTTAAAAATTGCACTGTTGTGGAACGCTGGACATCGAGATGGTGTGGATGGAATTTACTATTTTGGCGCGATGTCCGATGGTGAAATTCAGCAGCCGGGATCAGTCCGAACAATTCCTCGGAACACTCCCCGTGATAGATGCGGTAGAAGATGCAGAGTGATACAACATCTCTACGCAGAGCTAAAGGATCAAGCCGATCGGAGAGAGCTTGATCGTCGATCACTCGAATCGCCCTACGTTGAATGCGGTCAAATGGAAGTAGCTGGTACTGGGGAGCTCCCGCCCAAAGATGAGAACAGTACTCCATGTGGGGCCGAATTTGCGCCTTATAAAGAATAAGACGCTGACGCGACGTGAAGTACTGTCTCGCCTTGCTGAGCACACCAAGCTTCTTTGAGGCCAGTTTGGCCTTACCTTCCAATTGACCACGGAACTGGACGTTGCTCGAGATGTCGACGCCAAGTATTCCGATACTGGCTGTGGGAGACAGAGGAGTGTCCTCAAATTGAGGAGCTACGATAAATGGCGACTTTTTAGCGGTTAACGCGCAAACTTGTGTCTTTTTGGGGTTGAATTGGACTAAGTTTAGTCGACCCCAATCCGAGACTTTGGTTAACAGAGATTCGACTTCAGACACAAGTTTGTTCCGGCTCTCGTCGACGTATTCCCGAGAAATATTAGCGCGGCCAGTGTACAGCGCATCCACAGTGCTATCGTCTGCATAGCAATGAATGTTGCTAATTTGCAACATGTCATTGATATGCAGAAGGAACAGAGTAGGAGACAGTACACAGCCTTGTGGAACACCAGCATTGACATATTTAGGATCAGAGCAAGCACCGTCGACAACGACCTTAATGCTCCGATCTGCCAAAAAGCTGGTGATCCAGTTGCAAAATTTCTCGGGGAGCCCATAGGAAGGTAGCTTCGAAAGAAGCGCTTTGTGCCATACCCGATCAAAGGCCTTCGCTATGTCCAGACTGGCTGCAAGCGCCTCCCCCTTGGTCTCAACTGCTTCTGCCCATCTATGTGTCAGTTAAATTAGAAGATCACCGGCTGAGCGACCTCGACGGAAGCCGTACTGGCGGTCGCTAATCAGCCGGTGCTCTTCTAGGTACCGCAGGAGCTGGCAGTTGATAATGGACTCCATTATCTTAGAGAACAAGGAGGTTTTAGGGATGTTATAGGGAGTAACATAGGATACTTTTATTTTAGAAAAAGAATTAGGGTACCGCTCTAAAAAATTAAAACGTACCTAGGGACGACCCGGAGTGAAGCGAGGGTGAGTCGCTACTTTTAAATATAAAAAATTATTATAATATTTATGTTTTTAAGAAATAATGGAACTATTACTTACAAGATACCGTATTATGACTAAATATTGATAAATTTATAATAATAGTTTAACCTACAGGCTACAAGTCTCTTTAATTTGTATGTTGGAAGGTCAGAGGAAATAAAGGCTATTCAAATCTATATTAACTCTTGAGTACAACTGAAAACCATTTATACCTTTATATGTTTAATGTTGTATTGTATCATGTGTGTATTGAAGTGGTTGATTAAACTACAAATAGTCAACTCAACAAGACGATTTCGTGTATCGTAAATATTAACGTGGACAGCGCAAGGAAGATAGCTTGAATAAAATAAAATGAAACCTGTTTTATAGCATACGTCTGTTGATCAGTACTGCAACTGTTCTTGGTAATTTGCTCACTATTATTGCTTCTTTGACAGCTATCGCTTCATCAGCGTGGCGTTTTTCATTAACTTTCAAAGTTTACTAATAGCTACAACTAACAGTTTTATCTTGAAATATAGATATTGAATAAAAATGAAGCTGCTTAAATTATATCATCTATACATATAATAAAATTTTAACTAAGTCGAATCTGTACATTAAATTTTTTTGGAAAATCTTATTGAAATAGACATTATTATCGATACAGAGGCCGAATCTATAGTTTTTAGATTTTTTGTCTGTCTGTCTGTTACCGCATCACGGAAATCTACTGGAGGGATTTTTATGAAATTTGGTATGGTCATAGCTGGTTATGCGGGTCAACATATAGGATACTTTTTACCGCGGGAAAATATCTTATTTCTGAGAAAAAAATACAAAAACTGCAATGTAAGAGTATACTAATATGTAAAACCTAAGAATTTTAGTTTTTGGTCACTTGAACGCGGGCGGAGCCGGGAGCAATGCTAGTAGTTTATAGTTGCATACTGATATATGAAATAAATTGTTTATACTAATTAAATATTATTTTTTACCGAAAATTTGATCAGAAAGAACTATTATTGTTTATAAAAGTTTTGGAACCCATATTTACACCAAATGGGTTAAATTTCAAACACTAATTTCCCTATTTTGACTCATATTATCAGTTTAGAAATAAACTGTTAATTTTTCAATTTTAGTAAGATCCTTCGTTGATAAATTAGCGTGCTTTGATAATAAATAAATAAATATGTTGAGACATTAACACACAGCACCATCTAGTTCCATGGTAAGATACGAGGCCTATGTTATGGATACCAGATAGTTGATACAATACACATATATAACTTTAAATACATATTATAAATATAAACACCCATAACTACAGTACAAACATTCGTGCTCATCACACCAATGAATATCCCCCGCGGGCTCGAACCTGCGACCGCTGGCACAGCAAGTACTACAAACTGAGCCAAACGTGTCAAAATAGAAGTTACATCATAATATGACTAGACAAATCAATCCTCTACTCGTTGATACAAAGAGGTATGATATTAATAGATCTAAATAATTTTATTGAAACAAAGAAGATCATTTTTGTTGTATTGATATTTTCTCTTAGCTACTACACTGTGCCTCACTATTTAGTCTGCAACCACTAAAATTAACCACGATTATGCCTATGAACACGGGTCTTACAATCTTATCGTATTTACCTTTGGTTCTGTTGTTATTAACTGTAGATGAAGTAAAACTTATCTGGACTGGGTCTAAAGCAGCAACATTTGATCGGCCGCAAAACTAAAAAAAAACAACAAGTCTTTTTCCTTGTCGCTTAAAAGTTTGAATTGACGCAGCTCTCCGTTAACTGTGAGATCTTAGTATTTCTATTTTCTCGCTCAATTTAAAAAATAAGTAATAGAAAAATGTAATTATTTCCATAAAACTTTTTTATTGTGTTACAGTATGTTTTATTTTTGTAATTAAAATGGTTTTTGTTGTTTATTTTCCCTATTATATATTAATTTTATAACTATCACTACGTATTAGTAATCTCTATCGAATTAGTAATCTTTTCGGGTTTTTCGCGGATTTATTTGGATTTTTGGTTCCCGACGTTTCGAATGCTTTACAGCATCCGTGGTCACGGGAGAGACTGAGGTGTTACATGTCTCGAAGGTATAGTTGTTACAGACAGCCTACCCACAAATAACAAAATGAAAATTGCACCAATTACCTTACAATATTTTTTAACTTTAAACATTTTTATAATTTTAATTAGTTTTATAATTGAATATGGAATATTATTCAATTAATTTTGGAATTTTATTATTTTAAGAAAGTATTATAAAAAGTATTATAAAACTGTAGAGATCGAATGTGATAAAATATTGGTAAAAACCGAGTCAAGGGGATGTAAGAAGAAAAATAGACCAAATCCAGTTTTTTTTTCAGTTTCTTGTTTCTCTGTCTGTTTGTCTGTTTGTACGGGCTAATCTCCAAAACTGTTGGACCGATTTAAATAAAATTTTGCATGGTGGTACCTTATATCACCGGCCAACATTTTAGATACTTTTCATCCCGGAAAATTAAATAGTTCCCGTGGGAAAGTTAAAAATCTATAGTAACTTATACAGCTTATTAAACAAGAACTACTGATTGGGTTTTAATGAAACTTTACAATAATATAGTTCATACATCAAAATAACAAATAGGCTTCTTTGTATCCCGGAAAAATGTGGGGTTCCCGTGGGATAAATTTGTTTTTGTTTGTGTAGAGGCGAACCCGAGCGAAGCGAGGGTGAGCCGTTAGTGATTAAATAAAATTATTAAAGTCAATTAGCATATTGTATTAATAATTAAATTATATAATTAATATTAATTAATGTCTCTCACTGCACTGATTATTATTATTGAGTAGTTGAGTTTATGCAAGTTAATTTCAGAAATTACAAAAAGAGGAATTATCAAGGGAAGTTAAAGGGTAAAATTTATGAATATATTACGAAAAATTATAAATGCAAAGGGCATTTAGAGACGCTAGCGTCCATCACAAACAAATCCACCCCTAATATAATAGAAATAACTTTTATATTTCAAAAAATATTTTCTTAAATAATTTATTTATAGATATATAAAAGAACATAATTATAAGACAAATATAAAAGTAGAAAATAATAACAAAAATTTTTTTTATGTAACATGCATTTTTTGAATGATGTGTATCGACTATCGAGAAAGTACCTATGGTATAGAGAAATTATTTTTATTTTAATAACAATATCTTATCTTAGTTATTTAAAACATATAAATTGATGGATTTATCAAAAAACAACAATGATTACAGTGAACTAGGGTCAAGTTGAGAAAAGGTATATAATAGTTCTACTGAGGTGGAGAATCACAGTCGACTAGTGTCACTATGAAGGCAATAGTCTGCTTAGTCCTAGGGTTGGCGGCTCTGGCCGCGGCCCGCCCCGACGTCGACGTCGACAAAACTATTGGTAAGATACGTTTTGATACTATTTTAATTTGATACTTTGAAAAAAATAACCGTTTTTGTTACGAAATAACTACTACCTACCTTTGTTTTTAATAATAATTAACTAACGTTGTGACTGTTTGTTTGTAAGGTTAACTTTTACCAACTGCTAACCAATTACCGTAGTTATTTCCGCGAATTAGGACAAAAACTTTGTCCTATATCCTTTTGATATAAATTCATGACATCGCTGACTTGAAGCAGCAGTAAAACATAAAATATAAACATATATGTATAAGAGATTATTCTTTTTTGTTTTATATTACAGTGGACATGGATATCAAGCAGAAGCAATTCTTCATCTTAAAACTACTGAATAATGTAATGGGACCAGTAATGTACAAAGATATAGAAGATATGGGCAAAAATTTTAAGATTGAAGACAATATCGTTAATTACTCAGTATGTAAAGCAAAATTATGCATTTGCTGCATATTTTATTGCCTTTGTTTTCTTTATGTTATAAAATATTCTGTCTTTTTTACAGAAATATGACGTAGTCAAAGGATTTCTAGATCACGTAAAATTCGGATTCTTACCTCGTGGTGAAGTCTTCACGCTACACATTGATCGTCAAATGAAAGAAGTCGTCACGATGTTCCATATGCTGTACTACGCTAAAGATTTCACCACTTTCGTTAAAACAGCTTGTTGGATGCGTATTTACATGAACGAAGGCATGTTTGTTTATGCCCTTACCGTGGCTGTAAGACATCGCGAGGACTGTAAAGGCATTATACTTCCAGCTCCTTACGAGATTTACCCATACTACTTTGTTCGTGCTGATGTTATTCAAAAAGCTTACTTGCTCAAGATGAAGAAGGGTCTCCTTGATAATAAGCTATGCGATTTCTACGGAATTAGGAAAACCGACAAAGACATTTATATTATCGATGAAAACGTTTATGATACTCGAGTTTACTTAAATACCGAAGACAAACTTAGGTACTTTACGGAGGACATTGATTTGAACACTTACTACTACTACTTCCATGTCGATTATCCATTCTGGATGAAAGATGATGTGATAACCAGCAAATTCGTCACGAGACGCTGGGAGCTAACGTTCTATGTTTATCAACAAATTCTTGCTAGATACTACTTAGAACGTCTTTCTAATGGTCTTGGTGAAATTGTAGACTTCTCTTGGTATAAAACAATTAGGAAGGGATACTGGCCATGGATGATTCTTCATAATGGAGTCCAATTGCCCGTGAGGTTAAACAATCAAGTAGTAGTAGGTAATAATGATATCGGCGTTACGACACTTGTGCAGGATTACGAAAGAATAATTTCTGAAGCAGTTATAAAGGGATATATTGAGGTAATAAAAATATATAATAAATTAGATTATATATTATTAATAATAATGTAACAACATATTATATTAACATATGGTTACTTTACAGATTAATGGTATCAGATTCGATCTTACAAAGCCTAAAGATATAGAAGTAGTTGGCAAACTTGTATATGGTACAGTTGAAAAAGTGGATTTAACTAAACTTCAAGTGGACGCTTATCGTTACATGCTGGTATTGATGAAGGCTGTTATTGGTCTAAATACCTGGACTTCTGACTCGTAAGTCCTATTTTTTTAAATAAAACTAGGTTCTTGTAAAAATAAAATTCTCATCATATTAAAATAAGACAATGCTACAAATAAATTATTCGTCACTTCAGTGATAATATCAACGAATGAAGATAAAAAACAATGTAGCTTTATGTCTGTAACACTTAGCTCTCGGTCAATTTTAATATTACGTAAGAGTAGTAGATGCAGTTGCAAAATTTTACGTTTATGCTTTAATTTAATTTTTGAGTTAAATTTTGTTTGAACGCAGTTCAGTTTCATATGTCTTATAAATTAACTGACTATGAATATATACTAAATTATAATATAATATATAAATATTTTTAATTTCAGATACTTTGTTATGCCTTCCATCTTAGACAGTTACCAAACTGCTCTTCGTGATCCAGTCTTCTACCAATTACAAAAACGTATTTGTAAGTTAATGATCCTGTTTAAGGAGCGCCTTCCATCTTATACACATGAGGAGCTGTATTTCCCTGGCGTTAAAATCGATAACGTAGTTGTTGACAAGCTTGTCACTTACTTTGATGATTACCTAATGGATATGACTAATGCAGTTACATGGACCGATGAAGAACTTAAAAAATCTAGGAGTGATATGGTATTCTTCGTACGTAAACGTCGTCTTAACCACCAACCTTTCACAATAACCGTGGATGTCGTATCGGACAAGACAGCCGATTGTATGGTAAAAATATTCTTGGGCCCCAAAGAAGACAACTTTGGCCGCATGATTGATCTCAATAAGAATCGTCTCAACTTTGTTGAACTTGATTCCTTTATGTACAAAGTTACTACAGGCAAGAACACCATCGTCAGAAATTCCGTAGACATGCATAATCTTGTTCGTGATCGTATGATGACTCATAAACTATGGAAGAAGCTCGATACGATCACCGATATGAGAGATATGATGATTAAAGATCTCAGAAACTACCACACCGGATTCCCAACTAGACTACTATTACCTAAAGGTCACGTCGGTGGAATGAAAGTAATGCTTTACGTTATCGTAACTCCATTGAAACTTGTGGACAACATTGATCCTACCGTCTTAGACACCTACCATAAGGATATGTTCGTAGACTTCAGATCTACTGTTCTTCTTGACAAGATGCCACTCGGTTTTCCGTTCGATCGTCGTATAGACCACACTAAGTTCTTTACGCCAAACATGAAATTCGTAGATGTTATAATCTTCCACAAAACTCAAGTTTGTGATATGAAGACTCGCTGGAATCGCTTTGTATTAAAAGATTATGACTACTTTAACAAAACCCCAATTGTCAACAACTACTTCACAGATGTAGACATTGTTACCAAAGTCGACAAAGATATTGTAGATTTTTAAGCGAAGCAAGTTGAAAATTGAGAAAAATCTGTTAATAACTGAATAATAAAGTACCTATTAAACTTATAAACAAACATTGATGATCTATAAAATTAAAGAATAAATAATTGAATTATAACTGGCTATTTTTCTTCTATAACATCCGTTATCATATATGTATAGATCCTTCATCAAATATTATGCAATAAAACATATAAAATATAATCATGAAAATATTATGTTAAATCGTATATAATTAAATTGAAATAAAAATTTATTTAATTACACTAGCCATGAATTATTATTGACAGAAATAGTTAATACCACAAGAGATAAAACAATAAATATTACTTTTCTTAACTCTTATTCCAAAACACAAAGACAATAATGTTTACCTTACATTTTATACTATACTAGCAGACCCGGCTATGTGTTGCTGTAGCACACTTATAAAATGTATTTTTCTTTAGCTTGGGTGTAAAATTTGTAGATTAGAATATCCGTTTCTCAGGTTTTCTCTCCAGAGTAATGAAAATCGTTAATTTTTGCATTGAAAAAAAGATAATAATCAGGATAGAAACTGTCCTATTTTTTAAGTTGGAAAAAATACCACATTTTAAATAAACATCGCTAAGATCGTATAAGTACTTTCGAAGTTCATCGCGGACAAACATCGTGACACGGAAATTTTATATATTACTAGCGACTCACCCTCGCTTCGCTCGGGTTCGTCCCTAGCTTGCTTCCCAATACAAAATTTCATCCCCATTTTCACCCTCTTAAGAGATGATTTCCGGTATAAAAACTATCCTATGTCCTGTCCAGGGTCCAAACTATCTTCTTACCAAATTTCATCTAAATCGGTCCAGTAGATCCAGAGATTACCCCCTACAACGTCACAAACTAACAAACTTTACCTCTTTATAATATTAGAATAGAAGATTATAAAGGGACCTCAATGAAATTTTGCACATTTTTATACAACTCCTGCGTCAAATTTCAATTTTATTTTTGCTCAAAATTTTAATAATTATTCAATACGAGTCATTCTCTAAGGTAGACATTTTCTCTTTTACCTCTTTAGAATAATAAACTTAATGAATAATGATTAAATGACAATTCTACCAACTTAAGTTAAAGTCTACTTCTTCTTTTAACTATATTTAAAATCTACACAGTAGTTTTCAACTATTCAAACTTTCCAGTGTAGCTTGTGAAATCCAAAGTGACTTTAATCAAAGAAATCTGATATCAAATATGTCAACAACACTGTATATTTATTTGACTCAAAAACATGTTAACAACCAATATTGTTGATAAAATTATCCCCTCGCATATTACTGCTGTCATAACATAGCCATTAAATAAATTCGATTAAATCTTGAACAAAACGTTTTTAAAAGTATGTAGTATCAGACAAATATTTTAGTAAATAGTATGTATAGATTGTACCTACATAAAAAGCTAGTTCTTAAGCTTATTTATACTTACAACAAACCGATGATTAATTTTAAAAATAAAATTTACCTCTTAAAAATTATGCTGTATAACTGTGTGGATGCAAAAAGACACAATATTAGTAGCAGTTCATATCTTTTTTTATACTCAAGCTTAAAGCTTTTTATTTATTATCTCTCCGTGTAAGTGAGGTGTGGGAAACTCTAGTCATTGAAAAATCGCGATTATTTGAAAAATATAAACGAGAACGCACGAGAGTTCGTTTTTTTTAAACATTACTGTACTTATTGCTACTTAAGAATTTACTGCCCGTCTACCATTGAGTTCGAGCTTTTTCAAAAATGTACCTTACTCGAGTTCTTTGTTTATTAGTCTTCTATTACACTTGAAATGTTACGTTTTTTTTAATATCTGCAATAAAAAATGCCAATCGCGGCACAACCATCAAGAATGGCACTAGAAATGGCACTTTAATCAACTTTAATGGTGAAATATGTGTTCCCTATTGAAAAACTCCAAAATTAAAAGCCACATAGAAATCAATAAATATTTATTGCTTTCTACGTGGCTTTTGTCGTTTTTGATGAGATTCTATTGGATTTTTAATAGGGGTATTATTTGAACAGAGCAAAGTATGAAATAAGAATATTTTAATTTGAAATTTAAATTATTTTCATTGTTTTTTCAGTAAGAAACTTTTCTAATACAAAATAGTAAGGTCAGGTCGATCTAAACGCAGGTTCTAAAATTTTGATAGAAAATACTTTATGATCTGAATGGAGCGTTTATGATCAAAAACGAACCATGTAAATCTTGTCCTGAAATTCAAACAATGTATCCTACGTCAAATAATAAAATCGTAATTTCCATCTCTGTACAACACAACGTTTCAGATATAAAATAAAGAACTTAACATGTTACTTACCGAATGTAAAAATTAACTAAACGTATAATTAAAAATCATATTTCAAATATTTCGTATGGCTGTTGGTTTTTGTTTGAACATATGTACATCACGTTTTAATATATAAAATTTAATTTTTTATTAGTAATATTAAGTGTAAACTTCCAAAAAGGTAGAGGCTCTCAATTCGTCGGAATTGAACGACATCTGAACCGATTTGGAAAAAAAAATTGTATCGAAGGGTATACTTTCCAGGTGGTCCCATTTAAATTTGATCGAAATCGGTCGAGCGGTTTTTTTTAAAACTCAACAATAAATTATTTTTTTAATAAATAGCTTAATCGAATATCTGCTTATTACGTCTACATATTGAAGTGAAACTTCTTTGGAATCATTATGATTTGAAACTCGATGAAGCGAAATTGCGACTCGAGAAACAAACACATAAATATATAGGATTAAGCCAACGAGAGCTGAAGGAGATAGAATATATTACACAGGAAGTGAAAATAATACTGAATAATATGTTATGTAATATTATATGTTAAATAAAATGTAAGATAACTTAAACTTGGTAAAAAAAGTAAACCTTACAATAATCCAGGGTAATTTTCATTTAAATTTATTTAAATCAAAATAGAAAATCTTATTGCCTGAGGGGATATTTTTCGTTAGCACAAAAAACAGTCGTAATTCTTTATTAACAGACGTATAATCGGTTTTTTTTAGTCCATTTGTCATATGATTAGCAACAGCTAAATTACTCTCTCTTCGCTCGGGTGCGTCTCTGGGTACGTTTTAAATATATATATATATATATATATATATATATATATATATATATATATATATATATATATATATATAAACGTCTCGTGACTAATTGTGTCTGAACGCGATAAACTCAAAAACTACCGAACAGATTTTCATACGGTTTTCACCAATGGACAGAGTGAGTCATAAGAAAGGTTCACGTGTATACCAATAGAGCTATAATGAAAACAATGTATTACGGAATTATTCCTCTTAAAATGATCTATTAAATTGTAGCAGCGTTGCATATACCTAGGGACGTACCTGAGCGAAGCGAGGTTGATATACTAGTCTTGTATACCAATTTCAAGTTTTTCAGGCACTAAGTTACTTATGCTCCGTATTACAATGATGCGCAATTGCTTTTTGTGCCCTAACCGTCGTTACACAGGTTACATAAAAACGAATAAAGCTATCATAGTTCAGTGGGTTCTTACGTAACTACATATTATAGAGCCCTATTATTATATGTTAGTTGTAGCTTTCGGTGTAATTTATACTAATAAAAAACTACCTAAAAATTATATAGAACAAGTTGACTAAGAATCATAGCATTATGCAGTCAGAAACATACATGTAAAATATACTCGTACATACACGAAGCACGACTTGCAGCAAACGTAAAACGTGTGTCTCCGACTGCATAATACTACGTTCCTTAGTCAACTTGTTACCCTCTTTATAGTTATTTATTTAGGCAGTCGGGTTTTTTAATTGTCATAATAAAATTATTTATTTACAGCTTTTTAGATCTAGCCAGTTATACATTAGAAATTTAATTTATATTTTAAAACAATCTTATAAAAATACTTTTAAACATAATATCAGTTGTATATTTATACTAATATTATGAAAGTGAAAGTTTGTGAGTAGGTATGTATGAATGTTTGTTACGTTTAATAATTACGGTGGAACATACGACTACGATGACGCATACTATTATACGATTAGACACATAGATACATACAGGTTAAACACGTAACCCTCTTTTGTGCTTTGCCGCTGTCGGGTAAAAAGGTGGGTTCCCATGTTAGAAAAAGTTGAATATTGGTCAGAACATCACATTTACCTACTTTTCAAGCCAATTATGTTACAATGTAATAAGTTTATATTTTTACTGATATGTACCTATATATTTTCATAATATCGTTCGGATACTTTCACTAAGTTGTGATAACTTTTCACCTGTAACAGCTTATGGATAATATCTTCATATCTTCAATAAACAATGTAGTTTAAAAAGATCATTGATGTAAACAAAATTTTAGTATAAATTGAGATGAATTGGGTGTCATATTCAGTGTGTGGAGTGTGTAAGATGAAGACGCTCATCTGTTTAGTACTAGGGCTTGCGGCTCTGTCCGCAGCCCACGTGGTATATGATGACAAAATCCTGGGTAAGATTTTAGTAATTTTATACCTTTATTAGGACTACATAAAACTGATTTCTTATAATTTCGTCATGTCCGTCTATCCATGTAAGACTTAGTTCTATTATATATAGCTGTAATTTGAACGATAAACATTATGTGTAAATAAAATTATAAAAAATATTATTTTGTGTAATTAAACAAGACTTATATATTTAAGCCAGCTACTTTTCGCGCCAAGTCGTCAACAATGTGCGATATCTCTATGCGCGATACAGACTCTCACTTGTCCGATTTTTGTTTAAAAAACCTATTTTTTTTTCTTTTTAGTTGATATGGATATAAAGCAACGTCAAATGGTCATTATGAAGTTGCTGAACCATGTCTTGGACCCCGTTATGTACAAAGAAATTGAGGACATCGGCATGAATTTCAAAATAGAGGACAATGTTGATCTTTTCACGGTAATACTTTTTTTTTAATTTCACAAAGTATCTTATTCTTAGCTTACGAATTTCTAAAAATTATATTTTATATATATTTATTTATATAGTCTATGTATTTTATGTAAGTGCATTTTTATTTACAGAAAAAAGATGTTGTGAAATCATTCCTTAACAATCTGAAGTTCGGTTTTCTGCCACGTGGAGAAATTTTCACCTTGCATGTTGACCGTCAACTAAAGGAAGTGGTCAACGTGTTCCACATGCTCTACTATGCTAAAGACTTTGCCACTTTTATTAAGACTGCTTGCTGGATGCGTCTCTACATCAACGAGGGCATGTTTGTGTATGCTCTCACCGTTGCTGTGAGACATCGTGAGGACTGCAAAGGCATTATCCTCCCTCCTCCCTATGAAATCTATCCTTACTACTTTGTTCGTGCTGACGTTATTCAAAAGGCTTATTTGCTTAAGATGAAAAAAGGACTTCTCGACCATAATCTATGTGATTTCTATGGCATTAAAAAAACCGATAAAGGTATCTACATCATAGATGAAATGGTATATGACCGCCGCGTTTACTTAAACGATGAGGACAAACTCAGATACTTTACTGAAGATATTGGCCTTAACACTTACTACTACTACTTCCATGTTGACTATCCATTCTGGATGAAAGATGATGTTATAACAAATAAGCTTATGTTCAGACGTTGGGAAATCACTATGTATGTGTACCAACAAATTTTAGCTAGGTACTATTTAGAGCGCCTTTCAAACGGTCTCGGCGAGATTCCGGTCTTTTCTTGGCACAAGGATATTAGAAAAGGTTACTGGCCCTGGTTAATCTTGCATAACGGTGTACAGTTACCAGTCAGGCTTAACAACTATGTGTTAAGGGACGATAATAACGTTGGTGTTATGAGGCTTGTTCAAAACTACGAAACAATCATCAATGAAGCTATTGTCAAAGGTTTTGTTGAGGTAAAGATTTAGGTATATTTATTATTCTCATTCATATTACCTAATATTGCAAAATTTATATATGTTCTTTTGTTTATTGTAGATTAATGGATTGAGATTAGAGCTTACCAAACAAGAGGACATGGAAATGTTGGGTAAACTAATTTATGGAACAATTGATAAGAATGTTGTAAGCAAAACCAAAGTAGATGCCTATCGCTACTTGCTTATTTTGATGAAAGCTGCCATAGGTCTTAATACGTTTAATTCGGACAAGTAAGTTTACTTATATAATCTATTACTTTAATAACACTTAATTTACAGACAACAGATAATGTTATACCTAACTACTATTCTGTACCCTGGTTTTGCTATGTAATAAAAATACAAAAAATAAATTAATTTAGGTAATATTAAAAATAAAATATAACCCATATATTTTAAAACTTCTTTCTTTTTAGATACTTCGTTGTGCCCTCTGTTTTGGACAGCTATCAAACAGCCCTTCGCGATCCGGTGTTCTATCAATTACAAAAACGCTTGTGCTATTTCATGATGCTCTGGAAGTTACGTCTACCCAGCTACACTCACGAAGACCTTTACTTCTCCGGTGTTAAGATTGAGAATGTTGTAGTTGACAAACTCGTCACATACTTCGAAGATTATTTAATGGATATGACAAATGCAGTACCACTTACCGATGATGAAGTTAAGAAGACAACAGCTGACATGATATTCTTTGTGCGCAAACGTCGTCTTAATCATCAGCCATTCAAAGTGGTAGTCGATGTTCAATCAGACAAGGCAGTAGACTGCGTAGTAAGAATGTTCTTAGGACCAAAGGTAGACAATGTAGGACGCATGATAGATCTTAACATAAACCGTGTAAACTTCGTAGAACTCGATTCCTTCCTTTACAAGCTTACGACAGGCAAAAACACGATCATAAGAAACTCCATTGACATGCATAACCTTGTTGGTGATCGCATTATGACGCGCGATCTCTGGAAGAAGGTAGAAACTATTACTGACATGAGAGATCTATTGTTCAAGGACCTTAGAAACTACCATACTGGCTTCCCAACTAGACTTTTACTTCCTAAAGGTAAAACAGGCGGTATGAAAATGTGGTTCTATGTAATCGTCACACCATTGAGATTAGTTGACAATGTTGATATGTCTATCCTGGATACGACTCGCAAAGATGTTGTTTTCGACTTCAGATCCACAGTGCTTCTCGACAAAATGCCTCTTGGTTTTCCATTTGATCGTCAGATCGATATCTCTAAATTCTTTACTCCCAACATGAAGTTTGTAGATGTTATGATTTTCCACAAGAAGCTAATGTGCGACATGAAAACTCGTTGGAACCGATATGTGCTCAGGAACTACGACGTGGTTGATAAGACCGTGATAATGACCGATGACTACTTTGTTGATACAGAAATCAACAAAAAAATGGACCACGATACTCATGTTTACGATTTTTAAACGCAAATAGCAAAACATAGTAACTTAATATTTATATTATATATGTATTTATGCTTATAAAGACAACTGAATATAATATTGTATTTAATGAATATAAAATATATGCTTTGATTATTATTTATCAGATTTTATTTAATTATTCCTAAATCCTCGTTAAACTTGTAAGTACTTTAAATCATAAAAAAATATTTAGAGATTCTAGGTTATTATTATTAAGTATACATTTATAAATAGTTAACAAAAAAAACTTTAAATGAGATCTATTGGAAACAAAAATAAAAATATCTGAAACTAGAGCAGTCGGATCTCTTTATATGGGTTAGGTTATTTATACTAGCTAAGTATAATGAGATATGTTAAACATGTATACATTTAAAATATAGGTTTTGAAGACCACTAAGTTAAGGATATCTTTTCACTAAAAATCGATAATTTAATGAAAAAAATATTTTATAGCACTGCGAGACCTAAATACGTACTTAAGTAATGCTTATTCGTGACTTAAGTAGGTAATTTCTACACTGTGCAATAAATAAATCTACGTATGTTACAAGCACATGACACAAGAGAAGGTACTTTTACATGTGATATATGCCAGTAAAAATTAATGTTCTAAATAATTTAATTACAATGAATATAAATAGTGAAGTATCATCTATATACGATAAAAGCTGTTTTTTATATATTTTTTGTCACTACAGCTTTTTTATTCAACAAAAGCTTCTTCATAAGGCTATTAAAATGATACCTAAGACTTATGCAAGCGCTGAAATGATTTTAAAAAAAGTCTAAAAAAATTCGTCTTTAGGTTTTTATAGTTTCCGTTATTTTTCTATACACTTTACAAAATTAATTTATACATTTTTATTTATTATATATGTATTCGATTTACTATATGATAAGTTTATAATTGTTTCCGGTTCACCCGGTGTTTAAGGATCGGAATATGAACCAATTTATAAATGCAATGTAATTTCAGCTTTTGAACACGAAAATGTTGGTAATTTACCAAAGTTAGATCTTTGGATTATAGAGATAGAAGGTTTATGTCACAGAGTTATAAAATATTATTTAATACTTATGATCTAAGTAAGTCTATTAATACACTGTACGGCGTTTTGCTCCTTGCTACGCTTGAGCGCGTACTCAAGCCATGCAATGACTAACAGCCCCTATAAGATAGTATCGTCATAATATATTATTTAGTCGGATAATTTTTTTCAAAGAGTGATCATTTAAAAGGAGAAAAAAAATATAGATTTAATTCTTAAACAAAAACTTTGAATAGAGCTGAGAGTAAAATGATCTAATCTATGCAGATAAACAAAATTGGAAGTGTCTGTTGTAATGTAACAATAAATAACAGTTTTTTACTAAAATATGTATATGAAAGTATATATGGTACTAATTTAAAAAAAAAAAGTTTTTAAATTTTTTTGTCTGTCTGTTTGTTTTGGATAATCTCCGAAACAGCTGAACCGAGTTAGACGGGACTTTCACTGGCAAATAACTGATATTATAAAGAGTAACTTAAGCTACTTTTATTTAAAAAAAAACCTATGTGTGTACTTTTGTACGCAAGTAAAAAGTTATACATCTTTGACGTAACAGAACAAAAATAGCGACATATTTTATCCCGTATGTCACGACTATCTGTTTGTAAAAAGAATGTAGCTAACTTTATCATGTCGCTTTTTGGCATCGTAAAAATTTTACTCTCATATTTTTTCCAACGGGCCAAAAGAAGTATAACTTCAAAAACAATCAGGGTTCTGCGCAAAAAAATTAAAACCTACGAAATTGTGAACAAAACCTACGGACTCGCTAGTACCTGAATGTTTCATAACATTTTGGAACATAATTGCGGCTTCAAATATATTTAGGGTTTCTATTTTAAACTTTCACTGTCTTAATATTAAACCTTTTTTTTTTTTGGGAAATGCATTTACGCACGAGGTGTGGGACTCACCGGCAAAGCCAGTACTACCCACTAAAACCCAACAAAGCCTTCCCCCGTCTTAATGGGGCGTCGCAGGATCGCTTACGCATTCAACTACGACGCCCCGACGGCAGGTCTGCCAAAGCAGACCACAACAACCACGGGGTTGCTCCAAGGTCCACTCTGCTATCAGAGAAGTACCAGGAGCAGCCCGCATGGTACACCGCCCTCCGAAGAGGGCCACTCCCCACCGCCCACCGAAGTGGGCCACCTCCCTGTGCGTTTCTTGGCTTCGCGCCCGGTTGGGTTGCCGGGCACTACTGAGCCCCCCCACCACGACAAGGTGAACGCACGTTGGGGGGGAATCTTAATATTAAACCTTTAATCTATGTAGTTTTACTTAAGTTTTATCAGAGAAGGTCTCTAAATTCAGCAGACTCCAAATTAAGGACATTACCTATCCATTCTTGATTCTAATATAATAAATGTGTGTGATGCTGGTGTCTGCTTAATACCTTTACCCCAGCCATACCCAACCTTTTTTTTTTATAGGAGCCACAAACACGTTTCAGTCATGGTGTCGAGGGCCGCAAAGAAAAATTATTTAGGTATTAATGAAAACGTAATTCCAAGTTAACGATGTAGTTACTTTTTTAACAAAGATATGTTATAATGCGATTTTTGATGCTGCCGCATGCGGCCCGCGGGCCGCAGGTTGAGTGTAGCTGCTTTAGCCGATGCAAATTGGCTAGGACGTTAATAACAAACTACTAAAGTAACAAAGGACGGACATAGACTTTTTACTCCCGTCACGCTCGCTCACCATGCCAAGAAAACCGTGGGCAAAAAAAATAAATTTCATATTACAATAGATAGCTCTATTGAATCATTAATTCATCATGATATTATTACGTTGAAGAATGTGATGAAGTACTATGAAGATTATTTATCTCATAATACTTTCTTAGATTTACGCGAATGTTTGACATTTTTAAATAAAACTATCTTTTCGAATTATTTCGCGGATTTATTTTGATTTTTGGTTCCCGACGTTTCGAATGCTTTACAGCATCCATGGTCACGGGAGAGACTGAGGTGTTACATGTCTTGAAGGTATAGTTGTTACAGACAGCCTACCCACAATTAACAAAATGAAAATTGCACCAATTACATTACAAAATTGAATATGGAATATTATTTATTTAATTTTTGCTATTATTTTTATAATTATTACAATTTTAAAAATATTAATTAGTAATCTATATTTAGTGTTGCCATTATTATATTTATAACCATAAAGGAAAATATAAAATATAGTATTAATTATTTAAGCCGTATAATTGTTCTATGTGTAATTTAAAAAAGTTAAAATTAATTGAGGATAATAATTTTAATTTAGTTTGCTATTATTTAAAAACAAATTTGTAATAATTATAAAAATAATAGCAAAAATTAAATAAATAATATTCCATATTCAATTATAATTAAAATATAAATAATATTTAAATTGTTCATATTGTATGTATATATTATGGAAGAGTGTCATCTATATTACTATAGGAATACTACGTTGAGAAGTGAAGCGCCATCTTTCAAATCTTTCTCGTAGTATTTTAAGTTTCTAAACACCTTTTAATTGCATAAGAGCTAATGGACTTAAAAGCTAGATGGCGGTAATAATTTTCTTAAAAAATATTTAAAAAATCTATTAAGTAAAATACACACACAGCATTATTAAGAATCTTGAAATACTATACTAGTATAGATATCTTATTCCATATAAAGAAATTAAGCGACCCTAACACGTTCTTTTCTTTGGACTATTTTTTATTTGCTAAGTTAGACGATAGATGGCGTCGATCCGCAGACTGTTGAACTGTTACTTCACTAGCGGTTCAACCTCTCTTCGTTCGGGTCCGCCTCTAAACCAAAAACAAATCTATCCTCCTCAAAATTTTGAATTTATTAACACAGTTTTTTATTAACTTATACCATTGAAAATTCATTACGTAATTCTCAATTTTAAAAATCTAATATATTTTATATTTAAGTAGTAGTGAATACTTTTTACTATATAATATGGACATATTATTATTTATTTTGGATCTGTTAGCAACAACAAAGAAGACATCCACTGAAAATCAGCATTTAACCTAAGACCGTTAAACTTATAAAATAAGTTTTTTAATTTTCTTTTGAACAGAGGGTTTTTGTTAGAATCAGATTTATATTTATTATATTTTATTATTGTACATGCCATCTATTGAGATTTATATTAACTATTTTTTTGTTTTGTATAATATTTTTATTATTAATTACGTACTGTTAGCCAGATTTTTTAAGTTAAACGAATTCATCTGCAAGCCCTGCGGTGTTGCAGATGTCCATGGGCGGCGGTGATCACTTTCCATCAGGTGAGCCTCCTGCCCGTTTGCCCCCTTAGTCCCATAAAAAAAATTGAATACAATTGCCTCCTAAAGAAAAATATATTTTTCCGGGATAAAAAGTAGCCTATGTGCTACTCCAAACTGTAATCTATCTCTGTGCCAAATTTCATCCAGATCTATTCAGCCGTTTTGGCGTGAGAGTTATAAACAAACATCCATCCATCCATCGTCACAAACTTTCACCTTTATAATATTAGTATGGATTAGTATTTAGTATGGATTTGCCCTAATTTTACCTAAATGTCAAAAATTAAACATTGTTTTACCTTAGTATTTATTTATTTATGTTTATTGGTCCACAAAACAAATGTTAATATAATATGGACCAAATCTAGATATAAATAGGAAAGACAAGAGTTCAGTACAAAAATACAATAAACAATGACACAACAAGGATTAAAAGTATTCCTCTGTTTACCAACGGTTTTTTTTTGTATTGACGAGCTTCATAGACCAATCGGAATCCGATTATTTTTAAGAGATTTTTTTTTATTGAAAACCTGAAGTTTTATGATTTAAAAATGCTAGCAGGTATATAAGGAATAGAAATTTGTAGAATGCCCCCGATACTCAGCTACCCCCAAGAAATGGGGGGACGCAATGGGTTGTAAATAGTTTTTTTTTTCATTTTTTTGCTTACTCTAACGTTCTATCGAAAAATATTTTGTACAAATGTTAAAGGTCTAGTAAAAATCTACAACTTTTATAAATAACACTTTACGATAACCTCAAAGTTTTCGAGATATTTGCAGAAAACTCGGCTTTTAACTTTTTCTTGGTTTTTTTTTAATTTCTAGTACAATCTTTTAATTTTCATGAAACTAAGGGAATGTATTCTTCGAAATACATACAATAAATTAAAAAAATTAAAATTGAAATGTTTAGCCATTTCCGAGAAAAGTATGCTTTATGGTCTCGAGAGGCTGAAAATCACCCCCAACTTCAAGTGGATGTTTATATTTAAAATATTTTTGGTTTAATTTTCAAATAGGGCTCATCCTTTTCGTCTTGAACTCTACTTTTTGAAAAAATAAAAACATTGTATAGTCGTCCTGTAAAAACACCCTTAAAAATTGGAGAAATCGATAATTTTTACTTTGTAAAGTTTTTTTTTTCAATTACCATTGAAGAAGAGTACTTTATTGACTAAATTTTTATAAACTAACTACAGCAATGTAATCTTCGGGAAAAAACGAATTAGGTCTGAAGAAAGCAAAAAAAAAAAAATTTGCATCCTTTTTAATTTTTTTTAAATACAAGGTCCATAAATAAATGCTTTATACATACATAATTACAACAAATTAACCAAATATATTATTTTTCCATTAAAATGCTCATATAGAAAAATGCGACCTTACAGTAGATATATAAGTAATTTATAATCCTCAAACACCCCAAAGCCTACAGAATTCCACTGTGGCTTTTAGTAACAGCCTCACAGTCCCTGACAGGCTGAAAGGGATCCCAAGGCCAAAAGGGAAGGTATCCCTATCACGAGTCGGTCAGATAACCTGCCCTTTATTTTTCATTGGGACCATTATCAGGCTACAAAACTCAGTCTTCAATGTTACACAACTAAAAAAATCTTTTGCCATTATACGCCTTTTTCTAGGAACTTCATCATACTCATACTACAAATGCGAGAGTTAGTATATGTATATTATTATTAATTATTTAAATTAGGCTCGACAGATTTTGATGAAATTTAGTACACCAAACAGATGACCTGAAGTAACACATACGTTAAAAGGCTACTGTGAGGCACCTAACGAAGAGGCACTCAAGCAAATCAAGGGCAAGTCGCAAGTTGTTTCTATGACTGAATCATTATTACGATTACGTTAAAGGTAAAAAAGCGGTTTGATAACCTGTGCCCTATTATTAAACATGCATGACTTTTATATGTATTCTTATCATTGACAGTTGTTTATGTCTTGATCTATACATATAATAAAATAGTAACTTAGCGAAATTTGTACATTAAAATTTTTTTTAAAACGGTCTCTGTACAGAATATAGACCCCAATAAAAATAGTTATTAAACATTTTCTCTGTTTGTTTGTATATCTGTGTTCATTTCACGCAAAAATTACTAAAAAGATTTTAACCAAATTTTGTGTAGTGATAACTTATTACTCGGATCAACATTTAGGATACCTAATACTACAAGAAATATTTTCTTTCCCTCAGGAAAACATCATAATTGATTCATCGAGGTGTCCTTAGAAAGCATGGCTAACACTGGTTATACCTTAAGAGATACATCAAAACAATGTACATTCTGTATCTATACATATAATAAAATTGAAACTAAGCCCAAATTGTACATTAAATATTTTTTGGAAATCTTATTGAAATAAACATTATTATCGATACAGAGGCCGAACCTATAGTTTTTAGATTTATTGTCTGTGTGTTACCGCAACACAGAAAAACCACTGAAGGGATTTTCATGAAATTTGGTATGGTGATAGCTGGTTATCCGGGTCAACATATAGGATACTTTTTACCGCGGGAAAATGTCTCATTTCTGAGAAAAAATACAAAAACTGCAATCTAAGTGTATATTAATATGTAAAACCTAAGACTTTGGTTTTTGGTCATTTGAACGCGGGCGGAGCCGCGGGCAATGCTAGTAAGTTCTATAAAAGTCTTAAAAAAGCCTACGGCAAAATCTGCAATAGTATAAGTTTTTATCCTAAAGTACACTAGCAATAACTATTTATATCTATTTTATCTAGGGGCGCACCCGAGCGAAGCCAGGGTAAATTGCTAGTTTATTATAAATTTTAATAAGGTGTTGTGGTGTTTACATTATATCACTGCGGTAATTTAAACAATAAAAGTCTTCGTAAACAAGATAGTTTGATGGACTGTTAGGTAACAAATAAAATTATAATGAGCTGATAATTATATATTTATGTAATTATATATTTATTTGTAAATAAAGTAGACATAATACAAAAATTACCAAATTTTATATAAAAATAAAAACAAAACAATTATATATTGTGTAGGTACTAATTACTATACTTACAACGGTAATTTATATATCGATACTTTAATTCGTAAGTCCGCTAAATCCGTTTCAGTAACCTTTTTTCACCAAAAAAATATATTTATTTCAATAGTATTAAGAGTTTGGAAAAATAAAACAAAACCATATACAGATTATTTAAAAATCATATTAATAACTACACTTTCAAACTATCCCATCTTTATATATATAATTCTTCTGTAGTGTGTATGTCACTGAACTTCTCTCAAACGACTGGACCGATTTTGATGAAATTTTTTGTGTGTGTTCAAGGGGATCTGGGAATGGTTTAGATTCACAATTTGAATAATAATTTTCATCAAAAAAATTATTAAAAATAGTTTGAAATTTTCAAATTAAAGACTCTTTCTATTGTCTACACGAGACAGGACAACGTCTGTCGGGTCCGCTAGTAGATATTATAAATGCCAGTTTTGATGGATGATTGTTACTCAATCAAGCCAGAACGACGATCTGAATGAAATTTGGTACAGAGATAGATTTAGGATACCTTTTACTACAGATTTTTTTTTTATTCCACAGGAAAACATAATAACTGGTTCTGTCGAGTGGTCCTTAGAAATTTATATGGCTAACGCTGACTAAAGCTTAAGAGATACATCAAAACAATGTATTAAGAGTTTGTAGGTCTTAAAAAGGCCTATAAAAGTCTATAATATCATATGTCTATCTCCTAAGGTACACTTGCAATATCTGTTTTTATTATGCTTAGCGACTCAGTCTGGAATAGCACTTAAGAATCAGAAGTCCCGGAAAAATGTACGGTTCCCATGAGATAGATTTGTTTTTGTTATTCACTAGGGACGAACCCGAGCGAAGCGTGGGTGAGTCGCTAGTATTTATAAATTCAATTAATAAAAAGAACAATCAATTAATTTTAGTAGATAAAAATAGGATTATTGACCTAATAAATTGTGTCATTTCAATGTAAGAGTTGTCATGGAGTTTATTAGTACGTTCAACTATGTACTTATCGAAATAAAAATGAAACAAATAATGTCTATGAACCCTTTAATACATCACTATAAATTGAAATCATATTTTAGGTTTTATTCATTGTTTTGTTGAAAATGAAGGTGCTAACATTACTTTTTATTGCACTTGCCTCACTTGCCTTGGCAGACGGGTACGTCATTCAGACTCCAACTTCTACAGTGAACACGAGGACCGGTGAGTACAGTTAAGAACGATCGAATAACTAATAGAAATAAGACACTTTTTATCATATAAGAGGTATATCAGTTTATTTAAAGAAATACTTTTATTAAATCCATACTAATATTATAAATGTGAAAGTGTGTTTGTTTGTCTTTCTTTCACGTCGAAACGGAATGGTAGATTGGCGTGATTTTTTGTGTGGAGATAGTTGGAGAGCTGGAGTATGATATAGGCTACTTTTTATCGCCGAAGATTATCACACTTCCACGGAAAAACACGGAAAATACAACCAAAAAAACTATTTATTCTCAAAATTTTTGAAATTTGGTATTAATGGTCTTCAATACAATTTAAAAAACACGTGTTTCAGCATTTTTCAAAATTCATTCTATAAGGGGGTAAAACAGGGGATAAAAGTTTGTATAAAACTTACCTTTTTAGAGTTATTTTTGTAGTTTTAGCGCGAGCGAAGCCTAGGGTTCTGCTAGTCTAAAATAAATGAGCAAAATATTTAAAAAAAGTGCAATTTTAAGGAGTTGTATATATTTATTTATTATTTAGTTTATATATCTTTTAATAATATTTAGTATATTTTTATTCCAGCTCCAGTCGGATGGGTTCACATACAAAAATTGTTACTTCCGTTATTTGAAAATGTTTGTGAGGAAAGTATAGAGCCAATTATAGTTCGCTTAAATGAAGAATTCAAATTAGATCCTTCAGTTGGAAATTATTTGGTAAATATATTTACATATTTATTGTGTTTATTGCGCATATAAAGAAACAGTCTACTTATTACTTTATTTTTTTTTATAGAAACCAGATGTAATAGATAATTTACAAAGCCTTAAAGGTGGCAAAGGCTTGTTAGCGAAAGGGGAAATATTCACAGAACGCTATGCTGATCATTTAAATGAACTCAAAACTATATACGAAGTCCTTTTCTATGCTAAAGATTTTGATACTTTTTATAAAGCAGCTTGCTGGGCGCGTCAGAACGTAAATTGTGGACTATTCGTTGACGCTATATATCTGGCAATTTTAAATAGACGCGACACTGAAAAGATATCAGTGCCGGCTCCGTATGAACTTTTACCGAATTATTTTGTAAGAAAAGATTTTATTATAAAAGCATCATCGTTAATAAGAGGTGTAATGATAGATTTAAATAACAGCGTTCGCAACGTTGGTAATGCTTATATTTTAGACGTGAATTATACAACAAACTTTTATGACGAGGGCGACGACAAGTTGGCCTATTTTCGTGAAGATGTTGGTCTTAATTCCTTTTACTATTTGAAAAAGTTAAAAAATTTAGGTTCAATCAGTACTAAACCAAGCAAAGATGGACAATTACTTTATCATACCATTAAACAGATGATGGCTCGCTATAACTTAGAAAGATATTCAAATGCTTTGCCTGAATTGGAAGGCATTGACTGGGATTATCTCGACGACCTATATTCTTATGATCCCTTGCTTATATATTCTAATGGTAAAGAATTTAGGCGTTCATCAGCTAATGGAGACTATGAAGTTCTTAAACTGTTGAAAAATATTGAAAACAATATTCCGACTGTCGTCGTTCACATGGTAAATATGGCTTATTTTAAGTATTTACTCGTATATTTTTAGTAAAAGCGTATATCATGATAACTTTTAAGTATAAATATTTACAGAGAGATGGTGGTTACAATAAATCTGAAATAATTGACCATTTAATGGAAATTTTGATAACTGGAGAAAACAGTTATGAAAAGCTAGCTTTACAACTTTTAAGTGGCGACAAAAGCATCTCAAGGTAATTTTTTTAATCATTATTTTTGTTATTCGATTAACAAAATCAATACTTGACATTTTTTAATTTTTTTTTTACTTTTCAGTGAGCCTTCAGTCCTAGAACATTATATGACAACTACACGGGATCCTGTATTCTGGAAACTGAATAAAAAAATTGTTGATTTAGTAGACAACGCTTTACAAGTGCTACCCAGCTATACCAGAAACCAACTTTACTTTCCAGGAGTAGAAGTCCAAAACATAGAAGTGAAGAAAATGACGACATCATTTGAAAATTTTGTTTTCGATCTAACTAGTGCATTGAGAACAGAAACTGAAGATACTAAATTTGAAGTAAAAGTTAGTCAGCCGAGATTAACTAATAAGCCATTTGCATTTAAAATAAATGTTTCATCATTCGTGGCACAAAAAGCTTTAGTAAAAATATATATAGGTCCTAAAGTAACGCCTGGCCAGTTGGTTGAAAAGAAAAATTTGTTAATGTTATTAGATTGCTTTGAATATAATTTAAAGATCGGCACTAATATAATAACTAGAACATCAAATGAAATGTTGAAGCTATCTGATGACTTTGATTCCTTGGAGACAATACGCAAAAAAGTTTCAGATGCAGAATTTGGTGTAAATACATTACCTTTAAAGACAACGTGGTCTCAAATAGAATTTCCTTCTCGTTTAATCCTTCCTAAAGGCACACCTGAAGGATTACCTTTACATGTCTTTGTATTTATTGCTCCATACGTAAAACCTAGTTTAGGGGGATTTAGAAGTAACGTTGAATTAAATAACGAAGCTATTTTCTCCCCTGGATATCCTTTCGACTTAGATATCGAAATCCAGCAACTATTTAGTCTTCCAAATGCTTTGGTTAAAGATATTACAATAACACACAAATCTGAATCAGCATCCTATAGCAAAGCAGGCAATTCTTATAATTCAAGTCCAAATGGTAAAGCGTGGCAATCTGGCGATTTTGAAGCCGAAACTCGAAGTGGCCTTTTATCTTTACCTGATCGTCCGGAGTTTACCAAGAAAACCTTTGACTATAAAGAAAAAAAGAATAATTACGGCAAGAAATCTGAGTATGCTGCCAAAAGGGATAAAAGTCAGTATCAAAAATACAAAACTCAAGACACTATAAAAGACGACGTAGCAAAGGAAGAAGATAAAGAAAAAGAACAGGAAAATGTGGAAGTTATTAACAATATATATATAAGTCCGAATTTAGATCATGAAATTACTACAGACTTTAAGGAAGATAACACTTTATTTTATAAAATTCCTTCAGATGACATTTCAAAAGAGGATAAAAGCTTCTTCGAGATTTCAGATAAATCTCAAAGCAATTATTATGATAGAGTTATAGAAGATATGTACTCTGTAAAACCACATTTGCTGAAAATGCCGAAAGAAAAGTTTTCCAATATATTTAATATTATATTTAAACCTTTAAAAAATGACTCTGACGAAAAAGTATTCGAATAAAATTAATAAATTAATAAAAAAAATCTTATATCTAATTGTTAATATTATTATTGTTTATACAATTAAAACAACACATTTTTATTAAAGTGTTTTTTTGTTAAATACATTATTTTACCCTTTGATATTCGAAATGACTTCATTCTAATTTTAATTTGTGTCACATTGTAATATCGCATTACCAATATAAAACAATAGTATTATATACTTGTTATAACTATTTCTCGATTTTCTATCATTATTTCTGGAACAGTTCCAAATATTTTACAACGATGTTACGCTTTCCCTATTTTCATCGCAGAAAATTTAAAAACCATCGGTCACTAATGTGACAACGACTAAAATACAAACAGAAATATTTTACAGTTGATTACAAGGTTCCCGTAACATATTATGTTATAGATAATATATCATACATTAACATCCGCATATACCTAATATTGTTTAATTTATAATACAAAGTGGATATATGAACTTACCATATTTGACCGGATAACAAATGCTATTATATGCTATTATATTTACTAAGCCATTCTTTTACAAATTTGTCGCATTTTACGATTATTTTGAAATTGTAATTGAATCAAGTTTTTATTGAATATTTTACTAGAACTACAAACTAAGTAGGTATGTTTTACACATTTTTGTTATCACCTATGAATTTTACAGTTTTTTAAATCTTATTTGCAACATTACAAATACATTTTTTTTAATTTGACACACATTTCTTTTACAAGACAGTCTGAGGTATTTTTACTTAAATTCATATTATGTTACTTTATTTTTTTTTTATTTTTTTTTTCATAGAATATAAAAATCTTATATTTCATAAAATGGCTACTGCCGTTAATAATGATTTGTGGTATTGGCACTCTGGATGCCCAATGAAGACTAGCTCAGTTTACACATAAAAAACGTGTCAAATTAAGAATCTTTCTTTTTACAAACGTAAAAAATATTTAGAAATCTAGGACGCTCAAGAACGAATATACTAATTTATGATACTCTGAACTACTGTTATTATTCTTCGAATTTACTTTACTTTCGTTGTTCAGATTTAAAAAGAGACTCTAGTATTTAAATATATGTATATTGTCTCATGACATTAGGTAAACCATAGTAGAGTCCACTCTATCTGGCGCATTTTAGTGAGCCAAAATTATATACATTGTAAGATTCGTTTTTTGCAATATTTCCGCGTTATTCTTCAGATAAAACGAGTATCGCTTTCCAACTAATTCACAACAGAGACTGTATATATTATATTTAAGTGTAAAAATATTGTATTTACAATATGTTTTATGCATATTATGCATACTATTAAAATAACAATATGACAAAATTGAGATAAAAATGTAGAGTGAAAGGAAATGAAGGTTACTTAAATTATAACTATACTAGCGGACCCGACAGACGTTGTCCTGTCTACACGTCTTTAATTTGACAATTTCAAACTTTTTTTAATAATTTTTTTGATGAAAATTATTATTCAAATTGTGAATCTAAACCATTCCCAGATCCCCTTGAACACACACAAAAAATTTCATCAAAATCGGTCCAGTCGTTTGAGAGAAGTTCAGTGACATACACACTCACAGAAGAATTATATATATAAAGATGTAGCAGGGAAATTATATGATCCGAAATTCGATCCGATAAATTATAATTTCACTTGTGAATTATAATTTCCCTAAACACATTCAGTGAAATTGTAATTACCGTAGTTAAATTGTAATTAGTAGCCATGTATCACCTATATACCATATATATATGGTACTAGCAATGCCTGTGGCTCCGCCCGCGTTCAGATGACCAAAAACCAAATTCTTAGGTTTTACATATTACTATACTCTTACATTAACCACTTAATTTTAAAAAGAAAATATTCGATTCGTGTATTCTGCCCATTATGACTTACGGCTGCCAAACTTGGAGTTTAACAGAACACAATATACGCAAACTAGAGACCTGCCAACATAGCATGGAAAGAAGCATACTCAATATTAAACTACGAAATAAAATAAAACTAAAAACAATCCGTAAACAAACCGGAGTTACGGATGTGACGTATTATATTAAAAAAATGAAATGGAAATGGACAGGCCACATGATGAGGAATACAAAAGATAAATGGGCGAAGGATATAACCATGTGGTATCCAAGACATTGCAAAAGGAAGAAAGGGAGACAACGTCGAAGGTGGGAGGACGATATTAAAAGAACAGCAGGTATTATGTGGACAAGGAAAACACATAATCGCACTCTGTGGCAAGCTTTAGTGGCCTATGCTATAAAGCAAGAAAAGCAAGCTATGCTACAAAGCAAACAATCTTCGCGAAACTAGTGTCTAATAATAAAGTTTAGTATTAAGAAAACATGTATATGTAAGATTGTTGAATAAAGGCTATTATTATTATTAGTATACTCTTACATTGCAATTTTTGTATTTTTTCTCAGAAATGAGACATTTTCCCGCGGTAAAAAGTATCCTATATATTGACCTGGATAACCAGCTATCACCATACCAAATTTCATCAAAATCCCTCCGGTGGTTTTTCTGTGATGCGGTACAAGACAGACAGACAGACAAAAATTCTAAAAACTATAGATGCGGCCTCTGTATCGATAATAATGTTTATTTCAATAAGATTTTCCAAAAAATATCAACTATATATCATAGATGTGTTGGAAATCCTCTCACTATGACAAAATTACTTTTTGGTTTTTAAAAACCAAAAACGGAATTTCGAAATGGAGCTCAGAAAGTAATCCATAACCAATTTCACTAGTGAACGCACAACAGATCTTACAACCAATTCCCAATTTTCTATTTGTAATAAACGATTTACTAAAAAATATTTTTACTTAAGTTTAAGACTCTTACCTTATTACTTGAAAACGATTAGTTAGTACAAAATGACCTCTTTTAGATGCCACACAGAACGCTCATATTATGTATATGTTGTTAATGATATTAACCAGCAGTTAACATTTAAAACGTACCTACCCAAGAATGTATAGCTGTCTGCACCAGTTTATAAAATAAACGTGCGATATTATTATGACAGCTGTAATAAAGATCCCTTAGAGATACCATCGCAGCGCGCAACGATAAAATCAACTACAGACACCTCGTTATTAATGAAATATTCATTTGGAACTATAACTATCAACGTATTACTCATTGGGCGTCTTGTTCCATTGCCATGTCCAACACTTGTCCAGATTAAATCTGTAATAATGTTGTATTACACAACAATAATTTATAATTAATCATCGCATAACACCAATACTAATTTAGTACAGTAAAGAAACGCATGTACCAACCCATTCATCATAGAGCCTATTTAAAGAATTATTTTCATTTGGCATCCAGATCCCACAAGTGAATACTGCAAGGAAAATTGCTTGGTCAGTGCCAAAATAAAGTTATATTTTCCGCTTCATTGACACCGATGATTCAAATCCCAGAAACGAACTGTTCAAATTTTGGCGATAACTACCAATTATTCAGTGTTAAATGGTGGAATAAATAAATAAATGTCATTTAAGTCGTACAGTAGATTTAACGCAGAATTTCGTCTTGGCATATTTCTAGTCAGAAATATTTCAACCCATCTAACGTGTCTCTTTATAAGTCGCCTTGAATAATGCAGGAAAACAGTGATTCAATGTTTATATGCTCTCTGCCTGATATTTATTATAACTAATTCTAATTATTAGGCAGAGGCATATGCGATTATATTTATGAGATAGCAAGACTAATCTTTGATCTTTACTAAGACGTGTGAAATGATGGAATGGATGGTGGAAGGAAGATAAAATTAACTTACAATATTTTGAAGCATTAAAAACATTAATGAAATAACGAAGCAATTCTACATTAGAGCAAAACCTATCGAGTCTTAACAGTCGCTGTGGTGGAAATCGACCTAGACACACACATTTTTATGATATAGATTAATTTAATGGTATTAAAAAAACATGAGAAAGTGAAAAGATCTATTTATCCCAACTCTATTACGTTCTAAGTATTTGTATGTGGTCTGTACCTACTGTGGATAATAATAGCTAGCGAACACATTCTCATATAATTAATAGGTATCTATTTTGACATTGACCGATCTATTATTGATTATAACGTTTAACATGTTAATATATAGCATGGAGCGTTCTATAAAGTTTGGACGGTAATTAATTATCTAAATCAAGCTTTTTCAACTATGTGTAATTTATATGTAACCTGTGAAATAACTTCGAAGTAAAACGAAATATACTTGTAAATTACAGCCTAACTAATTAAAATGAAATATCACCAAAAACTACTATAATCACTTATAATAAATGATCTAGATAAAAAATCGAAATAAATCATTTTATACTCATTAAGTCATGTTTAACTAAATAACGTACAAGATTTGAAATAACAAAAGTTAAGTAGTAAATATTAGGCATATTTGCGATTTCCAAGATTACCAAAAACCAAATTCTTAGATTTTACATATTAGTATACTCTTACAATGCAGTTTTTGTATTTTTTCTCCGAAATGAGATATTTTCCCGCTGTAAAAAGTATCCTATATATTGACCCGAATATCCAGCTATCACCATACCAACATTTCATCAGAATCCCTCCAGTAGTTTTTCTGTGATGCGGTAACAGACAGACAGATAAAAATTCTAAAAACTATGGAATCGGCCTCTGTATCGATAATAATGTCTATTTCAATAAGATTTTCCAAAAAATATTTAATGTACAGATTCGGCTTAGTTACAATTTTATTATATTTATAGATAATATTCTACACATTTTTGTTTAAACTATGAAAAAATAACTAGTGGGTACAAGCTTAAATAGCAGATTCCCCGAGAAAGTAAAAACGTATATTCAATCACGCTTATTTAATTTTTCATCATAAGAGTTTATCCCTATTTTTAATATTAAAGTCAGTATGCCAAGGAAATAGAAACATTGAATGGAATTGAAAGCGATAGTCCGACTAATAGCCGCCCACAAACAGTTATATCGACATTTGGATGATCGTTATAAATAAAATATATCTCAACATCACAAATATAAATCAGAAATAGTTGGTGGATCTGAGAAGCCAAGGTATTTCGCGTATCACAACTCTATTTGTAAATTAGCTATGGCGTCTCTTAACCACCTTCTACCGGATATACTTGAATACGGATATACACATGAATTTTTACATCATTGCAAACTTTCGTGATTTCGTTGGTTTTATGGACAAATCTTTGGACGTCTTTAATATTATTATTATCGAAATACAGTTTGTACTTTGAATATTATATTCTTGTGTTTAGACATCAATATTTGAATAGAGGCTGCTCATTATATATTTTTTGAAATGTGTGTTAAATGTTAATGTTTGGGAACTAAAGACCTACATATTTCAATGGCTAATCTATAATTTTAGAGTTTCTTACATATTGGCGATTAAATGCTTCATTATTATTATTCTTTAACGACTGGATCGATAGATTTTCATAAAAAAATATTATAAAGTTAATAACCAGAATGTATTTATGTACATATGTAGTTTGAGTCCTATAATAATAATATACGTGTGTCATATAAAAACATATGTCATTGTAGAGTAAATAGTAATAAGAAACACGTTTAGCAGCAGGTAGTACAAATTGTAATCAAAATATAATGATAATAATGAAATATATATGTTACCCAAATATTATACTCAATACACAATGTAAAAACCATCAACGAATATGCGATAAGTGTTATTACAATGGCTTATATTTAAAATTTTCAGAAAATATCGCACCCAATATACTTTGCCTATGAAATGCGGAAATCGTAATTTCTAATCCCATTGTGGATAGGTAAGGCCACGTGGGCGCTAATGCCGTATAAACGTTCTCATTGTAGCGCTCACATGAGAAAACAAAAATTATAGTCGATCACCGACATTCTATATCTGCGCGGGCGCTGCGTATAACCCGTTGCACGCGCCAGTGGTCGAAAATTAATGGTGCATAACAACAGATTGCTAACCTTTCCTCTTAGTGAAGCTTCTAATAATTTTAGAAGTTCAAAATGTAAATTTATTACGACTATACCAAGAAAGTGAATATAGAAGTAACCTTCATATACTCATAATTTAAAATAGTCCTTTCGCAATCGTTATATGTCATTTCTTTTATTTTTTAATTTAAAATAATCAGCAAAAAAATAAGTTTTATATAGCAGAGTGAAATAATATGGACAGAAATGGTACTTAACTTCTGGCACCTGGATTCTGTCCTTCCAACAGTCTGTGACGTTGCCACACGTAATATTTTCATTGGATTGTTGTGAATCGACGGCTGCTTCTAAGGAATTTCCTGTTCTTAATTTGGAAATTGCTCAATAAACACATACCTTTTGGGTTTCTGGATCGTTTTAATATGGATGTATGAGATAAGTTTAACGTCATGTACGGTGTACGATCAAGGATTTCAGCAATCAAATATCAAATTAGTTGAATGTTTATTTAAATTCTTAGTGAGTTAGTAAAGTATTGCAGCTTAACCGAGTTTTCGTACAAATCACGTCAATATGTATTAATATTTTTCTAACTTATTGTTGTTTATACATGAATAAGATCTTTCCAAAAATTTCTAAAAAATATTATGAGGTCATTAGATTATATGAATTTAGAGATTATATGAAATTAATTCATAATAACTAAAAATATATTCAGATTACTTCTGAATGAAATAAACGAGTAATAAACATCAGTAAGTGAAATGAAACAAATGTTTTTGTTTCCTGCAGTATTTCCAACGGCTGACGTATCAACACTGACGATGAGTGTGAAACGTCATCGAATCACTACGAGAGAAGACAGTAGCTGATTTTTACTTATTTTTGTATTCCTTCGTTGGAGGAATGGTCTATAAATAAGGGTGCCACATGAATGTAAAATCCAGTGTAACAACACTCGCACTCGAATTCGGTTCTTGTTACAACTCCTAACACTTCTAAAACAATATGGTGAGGATTTAAATTTTGTGATTTATAGTGAAATGTGAACAAGTGTTTTTGATTTAAATTCAGTGTTATATTTAAAATAATAAAGTTTAATCATGGAGTTTCAGAAATTTTAATTGTTAACTCTAAATTTTAGCTAAATCATTCCATCTAATTGTTTTACAACTTTTAAACTATTTAAATTCGATGATACTAGACATTTATTTAGAAAAAAAACTTTTAACAATAAACTTTACTCCTATTTTATAGGACACTGATGATGACCAAAAGATGGCCATGCTCCGCAAGGCCTTCCAAATGTTTGACACCACCAAGTCAGGATACATCGACGTCCTTAAGATTTCAACCATCCTGAACACAATGGGTCAACTGTTTGATGACTCTGAACTAAACGCTCTCATCGAAGAGAATGACCCGGAAGGTAATTAATTAATAATGTCAAAGAAAATTAATTTAATTTTTATTACAAAAGAAATATCTTAATCATTTTTATATATTCTATTTTACATTATAATATAATCTAAAACAAACGATACGGAATGATTTTATCGAAAAGATAACTCAGTTAATGTAACAGCAATAAAATTACCTGCCACTTAAAAAATATCTCATAAATATGATGAGTTGCTGGTTTATTAACCTCATAAAAATAACAAGAGGCATAAATCATTAAATCTGAAACAGGCTATCGTTACGCGACAACATCTTCAAAGATACAGGAATATTTTTACACACGGTCGCTATAATGAGTCTATTTTAGTGCGAGTGTCTCTTCAAGATTCCAATACCTTTGGAACACGTCTCTTCTATTTAAGTTTGTGTGAATGTTTAGACGCACACATATTCATCCTATAAATTTAGTGCACATTGCAACTATTATTAATATTAATGAACTAGAATTCTTTGCTGTAAATGACACGTCCGACATGACAGCGATTGAATCATAATTATGTTTATTTTATCTGTAATTGAATTGTTTAATTCGATAACAGGTACTGGCAAAATCAACTTTGATGGTTTTTGTAACATCGCCTCTCACTTCTTAGAAGAAGAGGATGCTGAAGCTATGCAACAGGAACTGAAAGAAGCTTTCAGGTAATGTCCTTAACAATTTGTTTAAGAAATAAAACTATCTTTTCGGAGTTTTTCGTGGATTTGTTTTAATTTTTGGTCTCTCGTGATCATGGTTGCTGTAAAGCATTTAATAAATCGGAAACCAAAAATCAAAATAATTCGCGAAAAAATCCGAAATTATAGTTTTATTTAAAATTTCAAATATTCGCAAAAATCTAAGAAAATATTAGTTCAATAAACCTAAAAGAAATTACCATTGAAAAATTAATTAATTTACCATAAGATTTCTTATAACCTATTATTAATAAATAATTGCACAAAATGTAATGAAAATCTCAAGATACATACATATATTTATAACTATTAAAATTCGCTTACAGATTTTTTTGTTCTTATTTATTTAACAAAATTATTCATTAATTCCAGATTGTACGATCGTGAAGGCAACGGTTACATTACAACATCCACCCTTAAGGAAATCCTCGCGGCGTTAGACGACAAACTTAGCAACGCTGATTTAGACGGTATCATCGCTGAAATAGACACTGACGGCTCCGGCACCGTTGACTTCGATGGTTAGTATCAATAAATTGTTAAATATTATCAAATATATATAATATTTTACTTTGTTTTTAATTTCAAGTAGACTTATATAACGTGAAATTGTTTTACCCAAAATATGATACCAATTTTTTTCTCATTTCAGAATTCATGGAGATGATGACTGGCGATTAAATCAACAACATTTGCTATTATAATATAATTATAACACTTAGTTTTTTATATTGTATACTATGAAAGATAAGACTTCATTAGTACAAACCGATGCGGTATTAGCATAGCATGCATGTTGGAAAAACTAACTATGCACATGTCCGATCTATCTTATAGATAGGTATTTGAATAAAGTGTTCGTTCCAGTTTATTATTTTCATAATAATTTAATGTAACGAAATCCAAACGTACTTACAATTATATGCTAATATTTATAACGCATAAACAAGCTGTTTCCTTTTAACACAAGCCCAATTTTTATACGTAAACAATTTACAATGTTTACTTGTTCCAAACTTTAAAAAGATTAATGATGGTATATTGAAAAATAATTTCAGACATTGTTATACATGCTGTATTAAAATTTATTACTAAACTGGCATACAGCACTCAATAAAATTAATTGGCAAGAGAAAAAAATCTATGACGTGTCTGTAAAGTTTACCTGGACCGGTGCCCATGAACATACGTTGATGTATGACAAAGGTTTTTGTTTTCATAAGTTTTGGATATATGAATTTAAGTGGACTAAGCTTTGATCTATTTAAAATTTAAGTCTCAAATTATCTCTTAATTCTATTGATGTTCTGATACCGGAAATCCTATTATTAATATTTATTTGGTAATTTTGAACAATCCCTAAAGCTAGAGCTAAAATGATAGATAGATGAGATGATGATGAATGATAGATAGATAGAAAAGATGAGCTAAAAATATTAAAAAAAATGTTACATAAGGACCTAGTAATAACATTAAAGGATCCCGAGAGATAATGGCACTTGTTAAGAACAAATTACCTCCCGACCGAAATTAGACATGTGCCATGGGTACAATTGGAAAATTGTCCAATTGGATTTTGCTTCCTGAAGAATACACAGCTTTGTACTGGTGTTAGCAAAACTAAATCTCGTAAAATATCTTATATATCACTCTACTATATTCAATGTAATGCAAAGGCATTTGTTTTTAATGGATTATATAAAATAAGGTTATACCAACACATAATGGGATAGCAATCATGAATTTTTTTATTTTTTTTACTCCTTGTTTTTGTATTTTATATAGGGTTATTCTTTTTCCTATGAGGGTAGTGAATAGGAATGAGGCTTATAAGAAAATAAAACAAACTTTGTTAGAAAATGTTTAAAAATGTCAAAAAATAAAATAAATATCTGTTCATGAATGTACTTTGAAAATTACGCCATTTAAGCGTCCCCAGGATTTCAATTGACAGAACAGAAATAGTGGCAGTAAGGTACATATAACTTGTTTACTCTATGTGCATAATTTAGTCTGTGTCAGTGGATGTATGTGATATGTTTTACAAAAATATAAACGGGATGTTGTTATGTTTACTATGGTTTGGAATGGTGCTTTCTGCACCCACGGACGAACTTCACAGTGTCATCAATGAAGGAGGTACCGACTAATAAACTTAAATTAATTATTATATATATTGATGACTAACGTTGCCAGGATTTTTTACTGTTATAAAATTACGTTATAGGTGCATTACTTAATTGCCTTTTTTAAGAACTTTATTTGCTGAATTAAATTAAATGCAATAAGGTTTTTAATTTTGATTTAAATATCTAGTTGCAATCGAAGAAGTTAATTATAAAGTCTTCTGATTATAGAACTTACACGAAGTGATGATGTATCTTACATGAAGTATATTATACCATCTGGGTATTCCCCGCAAAAATTTCAGAAAAGTTCAAAACGACACTTAGCTGATTTTGTTAGTAAGGTAAGCAATCGTATTCACAAAGTTAATATAATGCTCAAAACTTTATCACTCTAATTATTTTATCGATTTATTCTAAATATTAAACGTTTTATAGGATAATGAATACTACCAAATATTACATCAACATTTAGAAGATGGCCATATTATGAAAGGTCTAACGTTCAGTATATATGATGACAATATGAGGGAGGCCACTATAGCATTATTTCGATTATTACAGTATTCTGATGATGATAAGGTGAATGCTATAAAAGAGTGGGCTTCTCATAATATTAACTCGGATGTAGTTGATTATGCTTTCAGATTAGTATCTTTGTTTAGAGATAATTTGTCCCAAGGTCAAGTACCTCCTTTTATGTCAAAACCGAATTATTTTGTTAATGCTGAGGCCATTACAAAAGCGTTAAAATTAAAAATAAATAATGGGAAATTTGATGTACAAGAAGCGCAAATACAGCAGTTTTATAGAACAGATGATAAAATTACTATTAACGCTAATTATTCTGGTTGGCACCGATGGAATGATGAGTGTAAAGATCATTTAGACTACTTCCGAGAAGATATTGGTGTCAATAGTTATTATTACGGCATGCACTTGTTATATCCATTTTGGATGAATAAAGACGAATTAACTGGAATAGACCCAAAATATGCCGACCAATATTACTTTATTCATCAACAACTTATGGCCAGATACAACTTGGAAAAGGAACATTTGAAACATTTTAATAAATCCGCTGACACGAATTGCTATGACGATTTCATTCCTTATTTGACTTATGACAATGGACTTCCATTCTCTTCAAGGTCGTCTGTGCACAGAGAATGGAATGAAGAATATGCTCGAATAAAATCTATAGATATTGCTATCAAAGAATGCATAACGAGAGGTGTCATATTTATGGTAAGTTATATGCAAAAATAAATAGTACGTATTGCTTAAAATACGAAAAATACAAATTTATTATGAATTTTCAGGATAATGGGACTAAAGTTACATTGACTGAAGAAAACTACGTTGACTTAATAGCAAAGCTTATAAGAGCTAATTATGAAAGTAATCAAACAGCTAAAATTATAAGATCTCTATATGGTTATGGTGGTAGTGGCTACCCGATAAACAGGTAAAAATAATTGGTACCGAACTAAATAGCGTAAATATTAGAAAGTGCCTATGCACGCAATATATAAATATATAATATAATTTCTAAAATTAAAATTACTTTCAGATATAATCCTGCTCCATCAGTATTACATCATCCTCAAACGACACTTCGTGACCCAATGTATTGGTACATGATTCAAAATCTGCTAAAGTATTTCACAGACTATTCTAGCTCTCTACAACCTTTTGATTTTTCTAAGTATCAAACTGAAGAATTTAATATACTTGATAACAGCTTTACGAAAATAACTACATATTTTGAATTCTATGAATTCAATATAGAAAAACTTTTTCAAAAAGATACCAATGATCACAAAATGACTCCTTTATCTTTTAGTGTAAGACAAAAACGACTTAAACATTTACCATTTACTTTGTCTTTTACTGTCCATTCTCAGGTAAATAAAACAGTAGTTGTTAAACTATTTTTAGGTCCACATTGTGAAGTGTCTAATTGTTGGAATGAATTTTCTAATTTTTTTGAACTTGACTCTTTTACTCAAAAACTAGAAGAAGAGCTCAATGTCATAAAGTGGGCACCTGAGCTGTCCACGAGGTACTCATTTGATGATCACTATAATTTAGAACATCTATCACTACGTGAAAAAAAATATGATATGTTTAAATTCCCGGAAAACATGATCATACCCAAGGGATTAGAACAAGGTCTTAATTTAACTTTGTTTGTCTTGATAACTCCTATTAGTGATACAGATGATCCCAGTTTATCAGTTTATTCATCAGAACCTTTCGGTTTCCCATTCCATCGACAAGCTTTTGTAAATAATAGCACGAACTTTAATAACTATAAATTTTGGAATATCACTATATTTCACAAAGAAAACTCAAATGAACGGAATGGATATTTTTCTCCGCATCTAAATTAAATTTTACATAAAGTAACTTTATGAGTATTATGTTATTAACTAAAATGTAAACAGTGATGTTTAAGATAAAAAAATAATAAAAAGAGATTCATGTATACTATACTGACTTTTATTTACCCATAAATACGGTACATTTAAAATACACATACATATTATACATATACACATCATATATTACATATAAATAGCAATATTTTTTTCTCTCTCCTTTTAGTGTTTAACTACGTCATTGTAGTGTGCTAAATAGTTAGGACGTGTGTACTTGTAGGCAAATTCCTCTCCTTCGTGATAAACTTCCACATCCTCGAAGAACATGTTTGGTTGTTTGAAGTAAATCTCGTTTACTGGACGGTCGAATGGATAGCCGAAGGGTTTGTTGTCCGAAACGAATGTCTTGATAGATTCTAATTTCTTCTCAATTTGGACGTAGGGGTAAACAATAACGTACAGTTGGTATGGGAAACCTCCCTTGGTACCCTTAGGTAAGACCAACCTCTTAGGCATAGCACCGGATTCAATAGACATATCAGTGGGTACTTTACCCTCAGGCAATTGCTTAAGGATATCACGTACGGGTACTGAGTCCTCCTTGTAGAAGAAGAATTCGTTAGAGACACGCTCAATCTTGTTCTGTCCCTTAACTAACTTTTGTACGGACCAGTCCAATTCAACGAAGTTCTGCCAGTTATCTTCCAGGCTGATGGGGTAGCCCTTGCTGTCATATTTGGGTCCAAGGAACATTTTTAGAACAGCATCACCTTCAACGTCAGATTTAATGTCAACTTTTACAGTGAATAGCTTGTGGTTAAGACGAGGTTGACGGACGACATACCATGGGTACTGTCCAGATTTCAGCTCATCCTTGGTGAAGAACACATTGTTGCTTACATCGAAGTCATAGAAGTCGAAGTAAGTAACAAGCTTGTCAACTTTAACGTCGTTAATCTTAACTCCAACGTAATGTAAAACATCCTGGTTGTAGGGAGTCAAGAACTTCTTATACTCAATGAAGTACTTCAGAATCTTGCTGTACATTTGATAGAAGATAGGATCGCGGAGTGATGACTGATAGAAGTCCAGGGCTGTGGGTACAAAGGTGTATCTGCAAATAAAAGTATATTTTTTTATATAAATTGAGTAATAAGATACAGGATATCAAATTTTTTATTCCACTTAACTTATGTAATAAGATTTAATTTTTTAACAATAAATATAAGCAAAAGGAATAAGACGTATTATATTAAAGTAATACATTTTTTTTTATTTCTACACTTCAGTTTTTGCATAAATAAAAAATAAATATACTTACTTGTCGACAGGTTCAGGAGCAGCACCTAAGAGACGACGAGCTGTAACTTCATACGAATTGTGGTTATCCTTGCGAGCAACTTTGCCGTGCCAGTCAGCATTAGCTTGCCAGAAGTTTCCAATAAAGTTGACTGACTTGCTGTTACGTAGGTCAATATCTTGGTGGAACTAAAAAGTATAAATTACACACATACTATAATAAAAATATTTGATCATATGATATGATAATTATTCACACAAATATGTATTATGAAAAAAAAACTCACGGCTTTAAAGTGCCCTTGTTCAAGGTACTGGATGAAAGTTTTCTCGTAAGCGTCAAGAAGTTGAAGCTCTTCGTAGTTTTTGTCGACAGGAATCTGATAGTAAGAAGGCCTTTGTACAAATGACCAGTAATAGTTGACATAAGGGCTGTATCCGGTCTTAATCGGATTCCACCAAGAGAAGTCTGGGATTTCTCCCAATCCATTGGAAAGTCTTTCCAAGTAGTAACGAGCCAACAGTTGTTGATAGAAGTAGTAATAGACTTCTCCACGACGCTCTTTCATTGCTGGGTAGAGGTCTCCGTCCATCCAGAATGGGAAGTAGGAGTGGAAGTAATAGTAGTAAGCATTAAGACCAATATCCTCTACGAAGTAGGAAATTCTATATTCGTTATCCTGGTAAGTGGAGTAATCTGAGTAGTTGGAGTATACTACATAACGGTCAGTTTCATGAGCAATGCCATTTTCTACTCCGAAGTCAGGAGTAAAGATTCCATTTTGCATCTTGATGCGGAAGATCTTGTTCCAAACGTTGGAGTTTACGAAAAGTTCGGGGTAAACCTCATATGGCGCTGGTACGACTACACCCTTAGTATCCGTGCGGTGGATAAGAGCAATGTAGTAGGCATAGAGGAATTGTCCTTCGTTCACGTGGACACGCGCCCAGGCAGCACTGTTATAGAAGGATTCGAAGTCCTTAGCATAGTAGAAAATGTGGAAGAGTGCGACGGCTTCCTCTCTCTGTCTTTCGTAAAAGATTGAGAACGGAACGTTCTTCGGCATGAAACCAGACTTCCATAATTCCCAGAACTCGTGGACGGCCTTTTTGTTCTGCAAAAATATTATATAATTGAGAAAATATTTAAAAGAGAATAATAAAAAATAACCAAAGTCATTTAATTACATTATAGCCATTAAAAGACACTTACAGTGCAATCATCGATGTGAGCTTCAATGTCGTAGTCTTTGCCTATTTTGTAGTAGTCAGCCTCAGGGTCCACTTGCTCGGGATGAATAAAAAGCTTGAGGATCTTTTCCTGCTTTACTACAAAGTCAGCGTCAACTGAAATGCAAGATTTTTAGTTTATTAAAATATTAATTTAATAAATATTTTTTTTAGTTTATTAAAATACATTCTCGTATAATTATTTATAATAAGAATTAAAAGTATGTTTATTTGTACATTGTTATAAGTAATTTCGAAAATAATGCAGTTAAGTCTTACCATTCTTTACTTTGTAGTCAAATTTCGGAGGGACGACGGATGATGCTACTAGCGCAAAGGCTAGGCAAGCTACTGCCAGGACAGTCTTCATCTTGAGCAGCCCAGAAGGTAACTGTGCTTACTCGATCAATAATTTCACTTTTTATACTAATTTGATAATTCTTATCTTGTTGGTATATCGATTCCATTGTAACAATAATGCGTTTTATCTTTATCTCGCTAGCCTTTTCCTGACCTTATGCATTTTAGGAGACAAATGATACGAGTGCTCTTTTACCTATATCAATTATAAACTAGCGACTCACCCTTGCTTTGCTCGGGTTCGTCCCTAGTTAAGTGTTTTAACAATTAGTATAGCATAGACTATATACATTTTATGGTTTAAACATCCACTTAAAAAGGATTTTTAGAAATTCCACCCCCAAAGGGGTATAATGAGGGATGAACGGGAAATCCGTCATTTTCAAAGTTAGAAATATGAAATTTAATATTAAAGCTTCTCAGCAAAAATAAACACATATGTATTTCATCGTTTTTGGAAATCAACCCCAAACGGGAGAAACAGGGTGGAAACATTAGTGTAAAAATGAACAAAATAGTCTGATCTGCTTGACATTTAGTATTTGTATTTCTTGATTGAACTGATAAACAAACTACAAATATGTTTGTATTTCAAAGTTTTTCAAAATTCCACCCCATAAACGAGAAAAGGGGTGGCAATTTATTTATTTTTGTTTTGAAAGATTAGCATGTCCATATGGACATATTCGCTAAAAAAACTTCATATACATACTTCTAGGTACAAATAATGAAATGCAAAATGCAAACAATTAAGAAAAAATTAGCTTCTAAACTTTTTAGTTTTGTTAGTTAGACTTTTTATTTAACAATTAGCAGAACCCGTGGTCCGCTCGTGCTAAAACTACAAAAAAAATATGTTTAAAGGTAGGTATTTATCACGCCCATCCGTCACTCCGTTTTGACGTGAAAGAAGGACAAACAAACAAACATATAAACACACTTTCACATTTACATATTAGTATAGAAAGTATGGAAGTATGGATTTCTTATCCTAAATTAAATAAATAAATAAAATAAAATAAAAAAGCCTTTTTATTTCCTGCAAGAGTAACAAAAGTAAACGAACAATTAGTTGAAAAAATAGTGCAGTAATAATATAATGTAAAAATAAATAAGTGTATATATTCTTTTTTTTTTTAAGTTGTTATTATTTATATATATATATATATATATATATATATATATATACATATATATATATAATTATATATATATATATATATATATATATATATATATAAAATATATATGATATGATGATATGAAATATATAGAAACGTGAACTTATTTTTGCAAAAATATGTATTGCGAAAATATAAAAAAATATTTGTTTTTATTTTTATTACTAGGGTATGTATACAACTTCCCTATTGGAATCGGATATTATAAAATTTCATTAGTTTTAAATTTTTTTCGTGAGAACCATATTTTTTTCTAAAACAAATGTAGCCTAAGATACTCCTTATTATATGAGCTACCTGCCAGTGAAGTCCCGTCAAAATCGGTTTAGCCATTTTTGGTATATGTATCGTGTATACATCCATATGCATTTAGTTATAAGCTGTTATTATGACATTTCAAACAGACACTTTAATTTATCTGTATAGATTTGTTTTTGAGTCATGTTACCATCGTGTAAATATTGACAAATATTGACATTAATATTTATACAATACTAATGTCACTCAATTGTTTTGCCTTCCCGGAACCTCTCCACTAACACTTAAACTTTATGGTATGGTATTAAAGTTCAAATTGACTTTTAAGTATTATTACGAATCTTTTGTATGGGAGTATAGAAAAGTGTTGTTTTTAGACTTTTTCAGGCAATTTTTTTAATTTTTCTCTCCGTAAGAACCATCCTCGTACTTCAAGGAATATTCTAAAAAAAGAATTAGCGAAATCGGTTCAGCTGCTCTCGAGATTTGCGCTTAGCAACACATTCAGCGATTCATTTTTATGTTATAGATATAGCATGTTAGTAAAAACAACACAATATTCGGCGGTACGGAACCCTCGATGCGCGAATCAAAATCATACTCATTCACAATCATACACATTTGAAAATAATCATAGCTATCAAATTATCACTAATAACCTATAGCCAAAGAGTTTTTTTG